TATTTTTTGTTCCTTCGCCGAAAAGTTCGTTGAGATCGCGGAATGACCGTGCTGACTTCCAACTTTTCTCGAAGTGGTAGAGCATAATGTGGCAAATATGAGTACGGGTTTCGACTGCCATTTTATTAACCAACCAGAGAAGATTATTTTTATAAAAAAAACATTAACAAAACATAAATTTTAACTTACAAAAAACGCGCCAATAAAACCGCCGGATAATTTTGACTCAACCTAATATGTTGGGTGAGCCTACAAAAAATAGGTTTGCGGAGATTGTATTTTTTCAGTCTGTCGGGAAAATAATGTGGCTTTTTCGGGCCCTAAAATCATTGAATTTCTCGGATGCCCCTGCAAATCGCGAGATAACACTTTCAGGAATTGACATGTGGTCTACGTCTGAAGGCAAAGTTTAAAAAAAAATTGGTGTGTCGCACTTGGAAGTTTTCCTTGGTTTATTAGTCTGTCGGGAAAATAACGGCGAATCGTCGCAGCAAAATGTCTCGCCTCGCCGCTATCGCGCGCCAAATCCCAAGCCGCGGCTTGCAGCCGCAAAGCGATGATGGGCGATGCCGAGGCGCGACGATCCGCCGTTATTTTCCCGACAGACTGATATTTTCGGTAAAGCTTGATTAAAAAACTCTAAAATTCAATAATAAGTCTGTCGGGAAAATAATGAGCAAAATGTCGCATCCAAAATTGCTGCCGAGAAAATGAATTGTGTCGCGACAAAATCAAATTGCTTTTCAATTTGGCGACAAGACTTTCGATGCGACATTGTGCTCATTATTTTCCCGACAAACTGATGGCATTTTCATAAAGTGGATGGACAAAAAATGCTCATTATTTTCCCGACAGATCACTACCCAAGCTTGTACAAACACCGAAAAAATAGAATACTAAAATAATAAAGCTGTAGAAATTTAACCCTTGAAGCAATATAGCTAACAATGTCAACCCACTTTTGGCAATTACTACAAAGATTTCATTAACTCCGCACTGTGGTTTTCTGAAAATCAGAAACAACAAAATTAGCGTTAGGCGGCAAGAAGTGTTTTTGTTTTTACAACATGTAACCGAATAATATTTAGATTCAAACGTAATGTAATGTAATATATGAATCTTTCGCAAATTAATTTTAGGTTTATTCCGTAGCCTCCAATTGCTTTTAATTACACTTGCCTCGGCTTTATCTTGTGTTTCCGTGTTGAAAAACATTTCATAAATTGAATGTGGGATGTTACACTTGCCACATGTCCAAGTTTAAGCTACGATTTGAGTGGAAAAAACACTTCCGAGAGTTGCCAGAAAGCACGCTACAAAATTGGCCGGTTTTGAAAGAGATGTAACAAATGGAACGAAGATTGGTTTTGGTATCCGTCTGTCGGAAAAAACACAGCGAGGGACCCGATCCAGTGGTAAAAAACGTACCATTTTGCATCCGGGAAGCATCAAAAATGTGGCAAAATGCTTCCCTCTCCAGGCAAAAAAACCTCGCTTTGAAGGGCGCGCCCTTTCCCTCACAAAAAGAGTGGGCGCGCTTTGGAAATCGGAGTTTTTTCACTTGGAGAGGGAAGCATTTTGCCATATTTTTGATGCTTCCCGGATGCAAAATGGTACGTTTTTTGCCATTGGATCAGGTCCGCACTGTAATGTGAATTTTTCGCAGCAAAATTTATCGCCTTGCAAGGCGATAAATTTTGCAAGGCGATAAAAGGCCTTACCTCCTCGCACAACAGATTTACAGCCGCGGCTAGCTGCTGCAAATCTGATGTGCTCAAATCGATGAAGGGTGATTTCGAAGCGCGACAAATCCACAATATTTTCCCAACAGACTGAAAAAAAACTTTTTTGGCACCAGTGTAATAGTGACCATGTGTTCATACTCATCGTATATCAGTCTGTCGAGAAAATAATGAGCACTCTGTTGCATCGAAAATCGCATCGCTGAAGTAAAAAACAATTTGACTTTTCGGCGGCACAATTCATTTTCTCGATGCGATTTTCGATGCGACAGATTGCTCATTATTTTCCCGACAGGCTGGCAGAATAAGCTTTTTGTATCATCAACAACGACACATTTCCTGAGAACGCACCGACTTCAAAGGCTCGTCATATCTATCTTAAATCGCCCTCCACCCATTTATGTATTTAAAAAAGTGCGAAAACAGATTAAAATCAGCCTTATTTAACAAGCAAAAAATGCTTGAAGCGTGACACTATAAGTTTCTTCTACTTTTAGACTGGCGTTTGCATTGTACAGAAAACGTCAGAGTGCCAGCGACAGCCCAAAAAATAGCCCATTGGACGGAGCAAGAAGCGATAAATTGCACAGTGAAAAGTAAGCCTTTCCCCTACAGTTACAAGAGTTATGAATTTGGGTCGAAAATTGGCAGAAACTCAAAGCTTTTTCATAGATTTGTAGTGTTGCTACAGTGACGGACCTGATCCAGTGGCAAAAAATGTACTATTTTGCACCCGGGAAGTATCAAAAAATGTAGCAAAATGCCTCACTTTCCAAGCAAAAAACTGTGAACCCACGGCCGCAATAACGACATTGAACCCCAACCCGCGCCCTGACACGAAGAGATTGAGAGCCTTGGCATTCCGCCACAATGATCGAGAGAGAATAGGAACGATGGAAATGAGAATATTGGTGGAAGAAGCAGCGCTGTGAGCGGTTGGCCACAGTTGCTAGAGGATTTTATCATATTATATTGATCTTGCGGCCCTTCGTTTGGCCATATTGTGAGGAGAGGTGTTTTACTGAGGATAAACGTATTTGGCGGTTTATTCGGTGATTGGTTGTATTGGCCTTTGGGAGATTGTCCCTCTGGTATTTGTAAGGGGCAAGTGGTTGAATCGGTTGGAGGAGACCCTTGTTCCCAATAAACTCCGTTTTGAAGGGACCTTCCCTCAAAAAGAGCCGGCGCCCTTTTGAAATCGGAGTTTTTTCACTTGAAAAGGGAGAATTTTGCTACATTTTTGACACTTCTCGGATGCAAAATGGTACTGTTTTTGCCACTAGATCAGGCCCGTCACAGTATCGACACTGTAAATCTATAAAAAAGCTTTGAGTTTCTGCCAATTTCCGACCCGAATTCATAACTATTATACAAGTAAACTTTTGTTTACGGAAACTGTGGGAATCGATTGGCAACTTCTTGTTTTGATCTTCAAAGATGATTTTCTTTTTCCTCCATTCCCGAAACTTCTCTACATCCCTTTTTTCCTACCTAAACACCCTTTTAACGGTTCTTCGAGACGGACGTAACCCGCGTTGACCTCGTTTTATCCGAAAATCCAGCGCTTTCGGTTCATTCTGATTGCGGAAGAGGCCGGGGGGTTTCCCGTTTTTACTTTTCAAATCATAACGCCAGCTTTGTCACTTTTAGAAGGTCTCATTTACGATGCTCTCGTGAGTGAGATTAGGATTAAAGGTTTTCGTGGTGGGACGCAAATTCGTTAATTTGGGACGTTAATGTTATAACTGTAAATTGTATACACAGGGAACTCAAAATCACTTATAAAAACTTTTATTTACTTATAAAAACTTCAAGTTTTTATAAGTAAATAAAAGTTCTTATAAGTGATTTTCAAATCACTTATAGGTAATTTTTATTTTCGGTGCCCGGGAAATTCACTTATAGGTAATTATAAATACTTATAGGTAACAGAAAATTATGCACAGTGCAGGATAGATAAAAATTTATTCAAACAAAGTAAAAAACAACTTGACTCTGATATATTACCGGTTACACATGTGGTTAGCGCATCTTCTGTGTCCTGACGGGGCTAATTTGCTTCTGTGCGGATTTTCTATGGGCACTCCTGCGGCTAGATGCACTGAAAATAGTCAAAGATAAAGAAAAAGTAAATAAAATTTTCGGAGATAGTTTATTATGAGGTCTCATTGAACTCATTTTTTGTGCTTTTCCATCCCAAAAATTAGTTTGAGGTTCAGAAATTTAGCAATGAGATTTCGAGACATCAAGTTTTTCATGTTGTACTAGGTCCAGGTGAATATTATCAACATACCTGAGGCATCCGAGGGTCATTTTTTCCAGACACTGTGTGCACGTTGCCCATTTACTTCCTCCACGAACATTTTGTGATTATCTGAAATAGTGGGTTCACCTGGACCTAGTACAACATAAGAAAACTATGTCTTGAAAAGTTTCTGGCCTTCTGATATGTGGAAGCAGTTTAAAAAACCTACCAAAATCGAGGAAAGAGTTCTTCATCCAAATTCTTGATTGATCATGCTTGTTTCTAGATCTTCCCAGGCTGTCTGCTCTTCCATTTTGACATGTTTCCTAATCGGGAAGTTTCTTATGTTCCGGATTTTTCATCTACCCACTTTTTACAGTCCTGTAAAAGAAAAAACTCACTAGAAACCCCTTACCTTGTTCCATCCAACGTTTAAATACCCTCTTTGACCAGTACTGCTACGAAAAACTTAGAATTTCTAAGTCTCGCCCATGCGTTCAAAAAGCCAAAAGCGTCTTTGGCGCTCAACTGTTTTCTTTTCGGAGTCCTTATTGGTAATTATAAGTAAATAAAAGTTCTTATAAGTAAATAAAATTTCTTATAAGTAAATCAAAATAGGCTCCGCCTTTTTTTAACTTATAAGTGAATTTTTGGGAAATATTTTTACCTATAAGTAAATAAAAGTTTTTATAAGTAAAAACGAATCCCCTGTGTACGGGCGCTGTATACAAGAAAAATGTTTTTAAAAAAATTTACGGCCCTGGCTCGCGCCTTACAGAAGCGATTTTTAAGTCGAAACCTAGCGGAAATGAGATAATTTTTTCGCGAATTTTACCATATAAACTTTCATGCGTATTTCTACCGTCGAGGGTAATGTTTCTACAAAAAATCAACTTTTTCCGCACGAAGCTAACAAAGTTACTCGCCCGCAAAGATCGTTCAATTCCTTCACTTGTTGGCACAAGTACTCATTAATACGGTTATATTATTATTTCAGGTTTGCCAAGCCAATTATGAAGACATTTTCGCTGTTGGCACTTCTTTTCGGTCTCTCTCAAGGTAATCTCTTTACAGAATAATAAAATCTCCGTCAAAACACGTAATCTACAGTTTCCGCGGGTTCAGCGGAAACTGTAGATTACGTGGTAAAACTGAGATCAAAATACATCATTTAATTCAATAAAACGCAACTTTTTGAATCCTTTATTTGACCGAAAAGCAAAAAAATAGCGTTTCGGTCAAAGAAAGGATACAAAACGATGCATTTTATTGAACTAAATGATGCATTTTGATGTCATTTGCCACATTTTTCCTCTCCGATTTTTCTCGGCCTAGCCCTAAGTCAACGTTTGTTTTACTTTCAGCCAGCCAACAGCTCTCGCCATGTCTGCAGAAGTGTCTTGAGCCTATGGCCAAGATCGAGAAAACCATCTCCTATGTCTACCGCAACTACGAAGATGTCTGTGACATTCTGGAGAAGCAGGCGCTGTGCGCTCAAGATTGCTCCGCCACCGACCGTGCCATGTTCTTCCAATACACCACTTTCTACAGAATCCACTGCGTCGATATGGAAGAGGGTAATTAAAGCTAGCCCCTGCATACAATAATTATCAAATTTTCAGAGCTAGAAGACCATATGCCCTGTTTGAAGGAAGCGTCCTACAAGGCCGACTTTGGTAAGCTACCTTCGCAAAAAACTAACCGAAATTGATTATTACAGTCTGTCGTGACAAATGCCAGAACAAACAGCAAAAAACTCTCACCAAGGAGGAGAAACAGAGCAATGTCTGCAAGTAAGTTGGTAAAAATTTTCTCGTGATTGAACTATCGTCTTTTATCAGTTAAAAAATTTAATTTTCAGGACTGTTGAATGTTCTACTCTTTGCTACTTCAAACAGTTCTCCGAATCTTGCCCCAAGGCTCAGAATGTGATGGTGGTAAGTTTGAGTGGACAATAGTTTGCAGGACAGTATCCAGTGGTAAAAACGGACCTCTGATTGCCTTCGGGAGGCATTCGGAATGCCGCTAAATACTCCCAGAAAGCAAATAGTTGAAATTTCTCGAGCTGATACTCTCAGAGTTTCGGCACACTTTGTGTATTTGATCTAGCAAGTCCAATTTTGATCACTGAATGTTTAATTTGCTGGCGCAACCGAGTTATTCAACAATTTTTGGAGACGAGGGACAAGAAGAAGGAGGAAAGGCGGTCGATAAAAAAGTAGATCCAGTGACAAAAGGGCTTCTGATTGCATCCGGGAGGCATTTCAAATATCACCAAATACCTCCTCTCCGACCGAAAATATAGCATTCTTCAGAAGCGAGAGCGAGAAAGTTTCCCTGACGGAAAGAAAAGAGAGGGAAACATTTCGGAAAGAATTGAATGTTTCCCTCTCTTTTCTTTCATAAACGGCAACTTTCTCGTTCTCTCTTCACAAGGAAAGTACTTTTATGGGGGCTCCTACTTTTTGACCGGACATATCTCAAAAAATCAGAAAAAATGTGCTGATCAAGGATATATAAATCTTAGCTGCCCATTTTAGGTTTTTAGGGGTGAAAATTCCCAAAAACTGGCTTAATTTCCCCACAAAAGGCGCAGGCATTCGAAACGATAAAAAGCGCGGTCGGTCTCTTCCTTCGGAAGAGAGCGGTGTGGCCGAGTGGTTAGTGCCGTAGTCTGGGAATCAAGAGGGGTAACGCCGCACGGGTTCGATTTCTCTTTTGGGCCGAATCAACTTTTTTTGAAGTCGAAGGTCTGAAAAATAAATTTTTGGGCCAAGACTGATTTATTACGTCTTAGAAACTCATTAAACATCATTTTAAGCCAAAATAAAAATTGTAAACCTGTGAAAAATTAAGCGAAAAGGGGTTCATATAGGACCTAAAGTCAACTTCCGATTGAGTTTTCACCCCTAAAAACCTAAAATGGGCAGCTAAGATCTATATATCCTTGATCAGCACATTTTTTCTGATTTTTTGAGATATGTCCCGTCAAAAAGTAGGAGCCCCCATAAAAGTACTTTCCTTGTCAGAATAATTCTATTCTTTTTCAAAGAGGGAAGTATTTAGCGGTATTTTAAATGCCTCACAAATGAAATCAGAAGTCCTTTTGGTCACTGGGACTACTTTTTTTTCATCGACCGCCTTTCCTCATTCTTCTAGCCCTCGTCTTCAAAAATCTTTAATAAGTCGGTTGCACCGGCAAATTGTGGACTGATACTTTTATCAATCGAAATTCCGCTAGCTAGATCATACACACAAAGTTTTTCCAACCTCTCAGAGTGTTAGCTCGAGAAATTTCAACTATCGGTCTGTCGGGAAAATAATGTGGATTTGTCGCATTAAAACGTCAAGCCTCACTACAGTCTTGCTCCAAATCCCCAGCCGCGGCTACCCTCGCAAGGCAATTATGGGCGATTCCAAGACGCGACAAATCCACATTATTTCCCCGACAGACTGATATTGGCTTTCTGGGTCCTTTTGTGCACAATTTTTAAACTTTTCCGCCATTTTCCCCGAGTCTTATTTAAAATTTGGACTAGTCAACTTCAGTAGTCCATAATTCAATCCCATTTTCCAGAAACTCAACGTCCGCAACGCCGAGGAGATGCGTCGTTTGACGCACGAGAAGCACGTCCAAGACATGAGCGAGCAATGCCGTCGGATTCACGACGGTGACTACATTCGCAGTCAACTATTAGATGCGGTTCGCCACGACAAGCCCGAGAAAGCTTCAAAATCCGAAAAATCGGACAAAATGGAAAAGAAAATTAAGAAAAACTAAAGTTCCATACTGAAAGTCGCTAATAAACTAATAACAATTTTTTTCAGCCTTTTTTAGCCATCTTGTTTATTAATTAAAACCCAAATTGCTCTCGAAAAATGGCAACAATAACAATGTAATCGGGGTGGGAAAAATTCCGAAAAAAATGCTTACAATACATGAGATAAACAGTAATAGAATAATAACATGCTTCTGGAGTTAAAGGCTGGAAGAAACATTGGAAAAAGACCGTTCTGGATGAGTATTTTTTTCGAACCTTTCTTTTAAAAATATCCGAAATTCTATAATTTGGGGATACTGTAACAAAAATTGTTCAAAAAATGCTACAGTAACCCGGAAAAATTGTAAAATGTTGTACTAAAGGCACAGTAAATACTTTGGCTACTGGAAAAACCGCTTGGCATCGTATTGCAAGAACTCGCCCTCGGGCAATTCAACATGGCATAACAAAAAAATGGCTTAAAAATCGGGATTTTTTTGAGGGACACCATAAAAAAACGAAAATTTTTTGTCAAAAACAATATAAATTGATGTCTGAAGTCTCGGACAACAAACAAAACAGAGAGTAAAAGTATTACAATCGATTTTGCAAACCAATTCACGGCCAAAGACGAGGAAAATCAACAAAATTTATATAAAAAACCAAAAAAAAGACAGAAAAATCATAAAATTGCACATAATATACCAAAGAGTCTTGAAATTCGTTTGAAATACCATTGATTACACACTCTACACATCCGTCCGCCTAATGCTCATCGATTTCGAGGTTGTCCGAGCTGACCGGCGATTGACTGTTGGCTTCGCTCATCTTGCTCTCCAGATCCGTCAAAATGAACGCCAGCCGTCCGTCGGAGAGGCGCTCCGGCCTCAGATTGTTCTTCTTGCACTCCAAGACATATTTCAGTTCGAGGAGGCGGGTTTCGGCCTTGATCTTCTCGGTTTCCGCCGTGATATTGGACAATCGAGCTTCGGCCAGGGCAGTCTGAAGGTAAAGTAAGGTAAATTGGTCAAAACTCGTTGAAAAGACGAGAATTCCGGTGGGAAAGCGAACGCAACAGTTCAAGAAGACTCTAAAAAAGCTCAAACAAACAAAAGAAAGTCGTTATCCCACCTGTGGAGTATTCAGTTTGGCCCTTTTCAGCTCTGGCGGATCTTCCGACGAGCTCGGAACATCGAATTCGAATGGTCGTTTCGGTGCCCTCTCTTCGTTATTATTGTGTGGAGTCAGCTTGGAGTAGTCGAGATTGACATTGTTCAGGGTGGGAGCTGGAGATCCGGGAGCATCGTCATGGTTATTCATCTGATAGTTGTAGAAGGTATCCTTCAGCACTGGCAGTAGAATGTCGGAGATGTTCTGGTAATTCAAGGTGGTCGGAGGTTCGGAATGAGTCATACTGGCTGGAGGAGTGGCCATTTTGTCGCCGAGGATCTGTGCGACCAGTTCATCGAGCTAAAATTATATTGTAGTAGATCAAAACGAAAAATTTATAAATTCTCATTAATTTTGTAACAGTTACTTTGTTTAAACCTGCACCACAACCCCCTACCTCTTCCATGGTGGACATTGTTTACCGAATGTCAAAAAAAAAACGTTTTGCTGCGAAAAAAGAGAAGTTGCTGAGAAAATCCAAAAAACCCGTCATAATGACGACTTTAAACTTAGATTCTGATAGACAAATTCAAAAGATTTTATGTGCACATGGTCTACGCAATCTACTCGCACAATTGGACAGTCTAAAATACGAATCTTCCACACCACCGATGACGGATTTTCTGGAATTTCTGTTGCGAAACATTGATGGCTAAAGTAATATAAAAGACCGACTTACCTCATCGAACTTGACGTTCTCATCGGTCATAGCTCTCTCCTTCTTCGCCAGCGTTCGCTTCCGCAGGTTCTGCCAGAAAATCCCACGCACATAGCCGCTGGACAATTCGGCCGTGGAGTCGGGGCAATTGTGTCGGAATGTGTCGATCACCTCCTCCCAAAGCGCTTGCTTCTGCGCCGGCTTCATCTTGGCCGCATTCGGGCCGAACAGCGCTTCTTTCCGGTCACAAATGGACTGGAGCAGCAGACGTTTCTCCTCGAACTTCATGATCACCCGCGACTGATCGTCGGCCGGCCGCAATCGCACGTCCTCCTCGAGTTGTTTCGGCTTGAACGGCGAGCCCTGGTCTCCTTTCAGCAGGTCGGGGAAGTGATTGCCAAGGATGTCGGTCAGTGACGCCATTTCTCGGCGAAAACCTAAAAAATCGGGGAGTTGGGCATGGATAATGTAAAATTGGTCGAAACAAGCGCGAAAACTTGACGGCTTTGGTAGAACACGAGCGATATTACCAATAGACATTGTAAAAAAGCCAATCAAATGTTTAAAATGTTTGATACGGAAACATTACATCTTGGAGAAGCAATTATCTTATTTTAGGTAAGAAATAACCGAAACTGATAGTAAATCACAGTAAATTTGATGAATCTAGAGAGTAAATGATGGAAGGAAACCGAGAATATCAGTTAATATTCGTTTGCTTCCATAAAATTTGTGGGAAAATTGGGAAAATAATTTTTTACCTTATTTTAGATAGAAACTTTGAAAAACCGGAAAAGCTCGCGAAATCTTGGCGAGAAAAGCGGATAATCGAAAAATAAAATTGTTTACAGGTTTGTAAAAGTGAAATAGCCCAAAAATTTACCCGATTTTCGAGCGGAAAATGTGATTTTATCCGATTGTAAAATTGCGCGCTAAGAATAGGGACGAAGTGTAAAAACGCGGTGAAACGCGAAAAAAATCATAGTAAGTGTCGGGTGAACTTTCGAACTGGACCCAATCACACGTTCGAGCAGCGGTTTCGGGGCCGGATCAGGGCGCTGCGACGCGATCCACGCCTCCTAATGACTAACTCCGATGTAACGGAGGGCCCGATAAGGCCCCGGCCGTCGACAGTGTTGGGGCGGGAGTGATTAGAATCCCACTCCTAATATTCGTGTGGTGGTGATGGTCCGATTGACTGGGGGTCGGTTCGCTCCCATTAAACCGTTACCGTCGCAGTCAATTCCGCCGCAAAAAAGACAGCAGCAGCCTGATAAGGGGGGCCATGTCTGGCGGGAGCGACAGGGAATGTGGTGGTGGTGGGCTTGACCACGGCCCCTTATTACACCGCAAATACGATTGTAATCGCGGCAGCGGCGCTGACAAATTACTTTATTGAAACAGTGATGGGGAGTAGAGGGAGGTGAGTGCACGGTGCACCTTGCGGTTTCGATTACTATATAGTCGCAGTCCGACTACATTTCTTCGAGTACAAAGTTTGAACTCTATGTACCGAAGCAGTCGGCGAAATCAATCATTTTTCCGTTGTATCAGTCTGTCGGGAAAATAATGTGTTATTGGCTTTCGAAGGCCGAGTTGAGTAGCGTTACGGTAGGGAGCCTAGGAAGAGGAAGGATGATGGTAAAAATTAGAAAATGTGAGTCTGTCGGGAAAATAATGTGCACTATGTCGATTTTGGAATCGCCCATCATCGATTTGCGATTCATGGCTACCGCTGTAGAATTTTTGTGAAAAATCCTCATTATTTTCCAGACAGAATCATAATATTGGTTTGTCGGGAAAATAATGTGCTCTCTGTCGCAAATCGCATCGCCGCCGGGAAAATGAATGGTATCGCAACAAAATCAAATTGCTTTTTTTATCAGCGACACGATTGGCGCAGCTACACTATGCTCATTATTTTCCCGACAGACTTATCGCGGTATTTTTTTAAAAAGTCGAATTTTGCCAAAAATCACCTTTTTTTGACTTTCGAAAATTGTGCCAGATCTCACTTTATTGAGCTGTACTGCTCTCATACAACAACCTCCGCCACAAAAAAGTCCCAGAATTGCAGCCCACAAGTCATAAAGAATCGAAAACGCTGGAAATGAAGGCATTACCAATCACTTCCCCCGTTCGATTGATAATCTCTACCCTTACGTAATTACTTAGTAATAACTCCGGCAAATTCCTCAAAGTGTCATTATCAGAGACGCTTCTCCCATCACTGTTTCGATTTGTACCTTATTTTATGATAAGATGATAAAAAGAGTCATCGGAACTAGACACTTACACTTTTGTCTGCGTTTTTTCGCTCTAAAGTAATGTAAAGTGCTGGTTTTTGGTGTCTAAGGCGCCTGAGGGTATCGGGTGGAAGAGTGCAAATTGAAGGATTAGGGGGAGTAGAAGTTGTCGATAAGAAAAGTTATTGTATATAGAGGCGTTTACTACAGTAGACATTCGAAGAAAGTAAGGGAACTTGGGCAAAAGTTAGGCAGGAATTGAGGAATTTAGGGCCTCAAAAGCGCAGCCGATTAGGGGGAGTAGAAGTTGTCGTTAAGAAAAGTTATACAGGCGTTTACTACAGTATACATTCGAAAAATGTACGGGAACTTGGGCAAAAGTTAGACAGGAATTTAGGGCCTCAAAAGCGGAGCCGATTAGGGGGAGTAGAAGTTGTCGTTAAGAAAAGTTATACAGGCGTTTACTACAGTATACATTCGAAAAATGTAAAGGAACTTGGGCAAAAGTTAGACAGGAATTTAGGGCCTCAAAAGCGGAGCCGATCCGCACCCCCCGGTGACTTTACTAACTCGCCTTACCTTCAGCCCCTCATCACTTATTGACCTACCACCTGGTCGGGGCCTTCCCGACTTATTCCGACCCCATTACCTGGCCCTCCCTTCCCAGCGCTCTGAACGAGTGATTGGCAACTGCTGCGAGTAAAATAGATAATGCCTCCGGCGGGGCCAAATGACTACGGGAACATTTGCCGGCCCGCTATTAAGGCCAAGGGAAAAGACGGCGATCGGTCAGTTTTTTACGTTTTTACTCCACCGTTGATCGAAGAGGCGGGCGGGGGGTTTTTTGGAGGGAAACCGAGGGCAGCGGCAGTTACAATTTGCTATTAGGACGGAAGGGATGGGAAAACATGGGGGCTGAGAGGTTGCAATAGGCACGGAGGAATCGATTTCTCATCGAAATTTAAAGTAAAATAGAGATAATATACTGCACAAAAAATGAGAGATATCAGTCTGTCGGGAAAATAATGAGCACTCTGTCGCATCGAAAATCGCATCACCAAAGTGAAAATGAATTAAAATCAAATTGCTTTTCACTTAAGCGATACGATTGGCTCAGCGACATGATGCTCATTATTTTCCCGACAGACTGATAAAAACATCGTCTCAAACTAGAAGTTGAACGTTTTTAGGCACAAAACTTCAATTAGAATATAAGCTTAACACCACAACAATAAACTGTGACGAATATTTTTGGTGGTCGCTATTTTTGTAGGAAAAAAAAAATTCAAAATGCAACTTTTTGTTGTGGAGCATCAAAGGTCTCCACAATTCCCACAGAAATAGCATAAAACAACTCATATAAAAGCAATGTCTCGTCATCAATTATGAGAACATTATCTCTTTCTCTTTCTTGTGTGTGGTGGTTCAATAAACCTTATTCCTAAATCTTGAGCCTATTCTCAATACCTATCTACGTTTGATCATCCACTTTTTCTCCATGGGGAAAATAATGTGTACAATGTCGCTGCGTCGATCGCGTCAAGTGAGAAACAATTTGATTTTGTTGCGACACAATTCATTTTCACTTTGGCGATGCGATTTTCGTTCAGAGTGCTCATTATTTTCCCGACAGACTGATGTAACCCCAAAATCAAACCCTGGCGATCAAAAACTATCTCTCTTCCGTTCAATACACACAATTTTGTCTACATATGACCTCAGGAACTCCGCTCTGACACATCCCTGCGGACCTTCCAGTAAGTCCCACTGAAAACCTCAACCACTGGAACTCATTGGGCCACACTAATCAAAAGCCCTCGGCTTTCCCATCCTCGTCCTCAACCAATGTCATTTGAGTCCTATCAAAGAGCCGAGGCTGGGATTGAAAGACGAAGAGTGTGTGTGTGTGTGTGTGTCTGTTACTACGCGGCTTTTACCGCCTTATCTCAACTCGCCGATCGGATGGCAAAAACATTTTGTCGCCCACCCTTCCATTGCCCCCCACTCCTCACTTACTATTAGTCGGAGAGGAGATTCGAAGGTTCAGTTCGGCCCGAATATCTCCGTCGGGTTATGTAGTCGGTTCGTAAAGCCGCTGCGGTGATTTTTGGCGTTTGCACTGTGCAGAAAAAGTCAGGGTTCGAGCGACCCAAAAAAGTCTATCGCACGGTGCAAAGAGCAAAAAACTGCACAGTGCAAAGTGAAATTTTGTTCTTGCACAGTGCGCCGAAAGAGCTTTGGTTTTTGCACTGTGCGGAAAAAGTCGGGGTCCGAGCGACCCAAAAAAGTCTATCGCACGGTGCAAAGAACAAAAAACTGCACAGTGAAAAGTGAATTTTGTTCTTGCACAGTGCATGTCGCCGAAATAGTTTTTGTCGTTTGCACTGTGCAGAAAATCAGGGTGCAAGGGTCAACGCAAAAAAGCATATCGCACGGTGCAAAGAGCAAAAAACTGCACAGTGCGAAGGGCGCTTTTGTTTTCGCACAGTGCATGTCGCCAAAATCACTCTAGCGACCTTGCGAACGGACTATTATTATTGAAAAATTTGTGAGCAATAATCAATGGCGTAAAACAAATTAAAGATCGAAAAAATCCCCTGCTTACTTAACCCGCTAAAGTATCCCTGCAATATTGCGCAATTGCGGCTATTCTCATCAAAACAAACATTTCTTTATGCTTTGTGACGAAATGCCACGAAAATAACTGAAAGGAATAAATAGTCATCAAAAATTCGGTTCTCAATTTACAGAAAAGAGAAGTGCTTGCAGTGCGACGCTTCGATTTTGATGAAATTTGGCTCAAATTCAGAATAATTTTTTTCGAAGACATATTCGAGATTTTTAGGCCGAAAGTTGGCAAAAAATGGTCCCTTTTTTGTAAATTCTGGGATGAAAAGTTTCATACCTCTTTTTTTCAAAGGGTAATCCTTCCACAAAAAATCACTTTTTTCCGCGCAAAACTGGCCACGATATGAACAAAAAACTGTTTTTCCCCGATGACCGCCGTCCGCATTTCGCGTACTCTCTCGGCCGCAAAGATCGTTGAATATCTCGGCTGGCCACGCCGAACGCGAGCTACGATTTTCAGAATTTCTTAAGTAGCATATGCCCTACATGTATGCAAAATTGAAAGAAATTCGGAGCGTCGCAATTTGAGAAATCGATAAGTAGCCTGTG